TTTTATGGTTTGTGTTAGGCTTATGACGCATCGAGACTAAAAGTGTCGGAATTGAAAAGTGAGGATAGGAATGATAAGTCGATTTACCATGTAGCTTCGAAGAGTGTTGGCGTTAGGGTTCAGAAAGCTGTTGATCCTGAAGTAGCGGCATTGCTGGATGACAGTGATTTGTCGCGGTTTGGTTCCGATGTTGAGGACTTGGAGGAGGATTTTGTTGTTCGTGCGAATCTTCCTGAGGGAGAGGATGATGTGGATGCTGGTGATTTGGTTGAGGGATCGAAGGTGATTAATGAAGGGATCAATGAATATGTTAACTATGGTCGAGAAAATGTACTGGATCGCAGTGGGGTCGAGAAAGCAATCCATGCTCCAGTGGAGGTAAGAGGTGATTTTGGAGATGAAAAGCAGCGAGTTCGTCGTCCTTTGGATGAACAATTTGATTTGGTGAGACTCTTCTTGCTGAGTAGTTTATTTCTAATTATGTTTTTCATTTTTATCTTGACTCGATCTTTTTTAAATCTAATTTTCAAGCACGTAGTTCATAAAATTGTATTCTTATGCTGTATGTGTGAAGTGCCTGAGAGACATCAAATCATAATTGCTTGACCTGTTATTTTTTAAATATCATTTGGTTATCATTCTTTTAAGATTGGCATGTTCATATTAATCACATAGATTTGATTGGAGGCATGGAATCGAGACATGGTGCTATTTTAGTTAAATTTTTGTGACCGTTTCATCTAGTCAGTTATCTAAGCCTTGAGCAAGTATTTTGGCACCCCCTGGTGTAGGTGAATCTTCTTGCACATTTATTTGTGGTCCATAGCTGTAAGTATGTCCAGATGGTGTGCATGCACCTAGAGTACTGGATAATTCATCACATTTATAAGATTCCTTTGTCTCATAAGATATCTCTGTTTTGCACATTTCAGCTTGAAAGTCAAGAATATGGCACTGATGATGAAGGTGATGAATATGATGGTTACATCGCTGAAGAAGATGAATTTCTAGCGGGCAAGCTTAAACATGCCCTTAATGATCATGCAGTCGATGACCTGGAACTTGATGACAAATATGAGGTTCCTGCAGATTTATTGCATGGAAATGATAGACCAAAAGATAAAGAGCTATTAGACTCGGCAGCTGCTGTCATTCGCCGCTGTAGAGAATATGGGAAGAAGTATGAAAATGAGGATGAAGATAAAGAGGTTATTATTGAAGAGGAAAGCAGTGATGAGTCAGAAAAGTGGGATTGTGAAACCATTGTCTCAACATATTCAAATCTTGATAACCACCCTGCTAAAATTGGAGCTCCAGAAACTGCTAGAAAGAAGATGTTGTCCAAAGCTGTTATTGGGGCTTTAAACGCTTCCAGTCATGTTATTGCCCTTGGAGGAAAAGAAAAGCTTCCTGTAGACTTTTTGCCTCGCAGAAAACCTGCTGCAGAAAAGGTCAAGGGTGCGCCTAGCTTACAAGTGGAGCAGCTAAAGAGGAAGCAACATGGCCAGGAGACAAAGGACGAGAAGAAAGACCGAAAGGTTTATATTTGTTGTTCTTTTCAGCATTTCCTTTGTGTCTCTGTCTTTGACATGCAATGCATAGACCCACAGGATAACACCTGAAGAAACAATTTGCTTATCCAAAAAACGTGTTTGGCACTTTTAAAAATTATACTTTGGTTCATGTGCAACTGCCTATGTTTTGAACTTTGATTATGACATTGAGATTGTGCAAGCAGGCTGCTGTAAAGGAGGAAAAGCGTGAAGCTCGACGCGTGAAAAAGGAGATGAAGGGGCTCTACCGGTGTGAAGCACAGCGTGCTCAGAAAGCTGCTGCTGTAGCAGGCCCATCTTCCATTCATCTTGTGTAAGTATACTGATTATTGATTTTGCTTCTAGATACTTGATCTATCAATTGAAATGCTTCCAGTACTTACATATATGATGATAATGGCTACAGTAATCCTGTTTATTTGTTATGCTATTTGAAGTGCAGGCTAAACTCTGATGTGAGATTGCATATAAGTCCTAATCTTTTCATTTCTCTGATATGGAAATGTTGAGTTACTTGACGCTAATGTGGTTTTTGTTCCCTCTGATCCAACAGGTAATTTGCCATTAGATCATTGCTGAAGACAACAGGATCTTGTAGGAGGATATCGGCATTGTTTGAAAACCATCAAGGAGGAATATTTGTAACTTGAGAAGGTGCCGTATACTTGGTTTTCTAAGGGGAACATTTTTAACAAGAAAAGGTTCTGTATACTTCATCCTCAGTTTCCCATGGGACGTTTTTTTGATGTGTTTTTGTTATGAAGTTTATTTTCAATGTCATACCTTGGGTAAAATTGTCTAGGTTTTTGGAAGACACTTTTAGATGGACTTACGATGACTTACAAAGCCATGGCTACCGTTTTGTTGGAAAACATGTATAAATTAATCACCTGTTTTCTCTCTGTCATTAACATCATATATCATGCTGTAATTTAATTGTGCTAGGTAGGTTTAGAAGAAAGATGTCTGTATTGTATGGTAATCTGCCTTGAAAAGCATCTCAGCAATGTGAAATCCATGGATGATTTATCTTGAATGGAACGTATAACTGCCAGACCTGAAAGTGAGTTGAAAAGAGAAATGTAGCGGCAAGAGTCAGTGTACAGCCAGAAAAACCAGACGGGATGGCTGTATCTAAGCTAAACAGATACTCTAGCTTTTCATCCATTTGCTCCACTGATTTAAATTATTTATTATCAAATCATAGCATGATCATCAAAAGAAGCAAAGCCAGAATACTTTAGCTTCCTGAAAGAGAATTTAAACAAGAAGCACAGCATTGCTACTCTGCGTGGGGAATGGGAGCATAATCGCCGCCACCAGATCTAGGTGCAGGATCCCAGATGCTGTAGTCTTCTACCACATCTGGTGGATGAATCTTGGTGTGTTGTTCAACTCCTTTCTGCTGATGATCGTCGAATGGATGGGAGAAATGGGAGGCTGACGATGATACCTGAGCTGGAGGCCATGCTGATGATGATTCTGGTGCTGCCATGGGCATCAAAACCATCACTATCATGCATGAAATATGCACAACCGACCTTCCATTTAAGGCCGTCGGGTGCTTCATAAATTTTCCTTTCTAACCTGTATTTCAGCTTTAATGATGGCCTTATTTGTTTTTTATGGCACCTCTAGTCGCAACTGATATGCATATGGTACCCTAATTTGAGCGGATTTGGAGATTAAGGTGTCTTGGAACACCCAAATAAAATTCTTCCTCCATTCACTCCTAATGGATGATATAACAAACTCATAGTTCGGTGGGTCCAAAATCAAGAATACATGAAACGTGGAAAGCCAAGCAGAATCTTGATGTATGAGAGTACGCTAAAGAAAATAATTTTTTTAAAAAATATATCTTTTAACATTAGTAAATGACATATAACTATTAAAAAATAATTAATTTTAAACTATTTTTAAAATTTTTTAAAACATAATTAAACCATAATGCTAAAAAATATAAATAAAATAGTGATTCACACCTTGTATAAACTTCCTTCCATCCAAGGCCAATTATATTTGGATGTATTTTCTCATAAAATTTATAGTTAAACAGTGTGAATTACTTGCTTTTAACTTTTTTAAAAAATAAATGTCTCTGTACGTGATTACACGAGATAGCTCAAAATTACCCAAAAGGTAGAATAATTTGCTAACAAATTTTAAGATACTGATGCTTCTTGGTAAAGATGGTAGGAGGGGTGTTAATGATGATGACCACGTTGTTGGCCTTGCGAAAAAATTATTATGATGCGTGTCTAACTGTATCAATAATTGCATGCATAAACTCCAATCACTCTAATCAAAGAACCTAAGTCTTCCTCTTTGATTTTGTGAAAGCTTTTATTTTTCAAAATGCTCTTTTAAATTATTTTTCATCTATTTCATAGTAAATTAATATTTCTTAAATATTTTAAATATATTAATATTAAAAAATTGTAAAAGTCATTATTTTAATTAAAAATAATTTTATAAAACACTATACTACCAAACATGTAATAAAAACTGGAAGGAAACTGCTGATTTATCATCATTTGCTGGACCAACTTAATAAATATAATCATTTTAGCCCTCCCCCCATCAACTTAAAAAGTCAATAATTTACCCTTAAATTTGGAATTAGCCGTGAAATGGGCCCCGTGGCTAAGAAACCACGGCTAGTTAGTGAAACTGTTTAACAATCTTTTGTCTTTGCAAGACATGTCTTTCATACGGGCAAGAATTGTAGACGGTTTGCTTTTAAAGGAACTTGTATGATGTAAAAATGTTTTTAATTTGAAAATATAATAAAATAATATTTTTTTAAATTTATTTTTAATGCTAATATACAATTTAATTTATAATAAAAAAAATTAAAAAACATAACGGGTCCGCGTAAACAGACAAGATCAAAATGTTCCGAAAAAGCATCACATTACATCTCTATAAAAACCAAGATTTTAAGTTTTTGAAAACCATGGTTTTAAAAAAGTTACCAGACACCCTTTTTCTTTGTTCTTTTTTTTACTCAACTAACATTTTTCCAATTCAACCATGATACCAAACAGGCACAGGTCGTTGAAAAGAAGCTTTGGAAGTTCATTCATTACTTGTAGCTTTTTCCTTTTTGAGCATTGACAGATCGCTCATTAGACTCGAAGAAAATCATTACTTCTTTCGGTTAATCTTCAGTCCAGTACAGAATTTAGTTCTTGCAATTTGATAATTATTTTTTCAGATGAACAACCAACAAGTCAGCTAACAAACAAAAAAGAATGAAGCAGCCTCATAAACACCTGTCACGAATATGCAAGAACAAGAAACTCATTTCTACATTTAATGAGTTTTTTGAAATCCAAACTAAAGGAAGCAACGTTCAAACTCAAAATCCGACAGGATCAGCTCCAAAAAAAAAAACCACAAAGCATCCATGAAGACACCCACAGCACTCACTCACACACCACATAAAGGAAGAGTCGGCTTTAAAAGAACTAATAAATGTATCAGAAATTAGAAAGGATAATATACATCATTTCAAACATTTGAATAGTGGAACAAAAAAAAAAGCATGAGAAATTCTAGCACACCTAATGGGAAACGGGGATCAAAGATACAGGTGCCGGTTGAGACCATTTATTATACAAGATGATGCCCACAGAACACATAGATGAGATAAATAATTCACACTGAACGATTAGAATAACACGACTGCATATCCACAAAAGAACTTGGAGTGGAAGAGTTACCGATCATTACGAGATTGCAAAGGGAGACACGTGCACTTATCTTTCATCGCTTCAGCCTCACTTCCATACTCTTTGAATTTGTAGTCATCCTGCTTAAATGCAGGAGACACCTTCCCCTCGCTGTAACACTGGCTACATAGACTAAAATGAGATTTTATCTCCTTGAAGCGGGACCCAATAATTGGGTAGCGGCAAACTGAGCAAACACAATTTCCATGGCGGTTCCTGTCCCCAGATTCGAGCTTCACCAGAGTTGACATAATACCAAAGCCCCAATCAGGATCATCGAACATCACAAGAAACTCCTTGAAAGACACCATTGAAGAATCTTCTTCTCCATGAAGCTCTAGCATTTCACTAACTCCATGCGAAGGAATATAAATAGCCCTCAGTAAATTGATGTAACGAACAGCATCAGCCCTTTTAATCTGTGAACCACCTTCATTCACAGGACGCCATAAAAGCGCATCAAAAGCAACCCTTTTTCGCTTATCAGGAGTGCCGCTGCAAATGGGAGCAAGAACGGCATAGATCATACCTAAATCCACCCTGCCTGAGCCTGTATAGTCCAAAACAGAGAGGATCCTCTCGTTTATTACCTTGACAGCCCCCTGGAAGGTTTCAGGCTTCAGGAAATTAAGCAACCTCCGCAGAATTTCCTCTAAATTAGGTTTGCGTATTGATTTCTCAGGAACACCACCACCAGAATAAGACAGAGGTACATCATTTTCACTCATTTCCTTCTTCAAAAGTTCCACATCACATCGACTTAACCTGGTAATCCTCTGAAACACCCTGATTTGAAGAGCAATAGCTAAGTCCTGCCTCAATGTAGTTTTTCCATTCACCGTATTAAATTTTGAAGGTTCCACAATGACAAACACTCCCTCCCCATTGGCACCTTCATTACCCTTCACTTTCTTCTTCTGTATCTGCTTCAAATGAGATATTGCATCATGCAATTCAACTCTATTTGTCAATTTCAACGCTTCCTTCAAAGCTTTCTTAGCTTCCTCAGTCTCCCCAGCCCCCAACAACGAGACAGCCTTATTAAGCTGTGCCCGCCAGTGGTTTGGCCAGACAGCTAAAACCCTAGTATACATCTCAGAAGCTCTTTGAAACCTACCCAGATCCATGTACAGCCCACCTAAATTATACAAAGCATCCACATGGCCAGGTTTCAAATCAATTGCCTTTTGAAACACCTCTATTGCCTTCTCATCCTCACCCATGGCATGTAAAGCCGAAGCTAAATCACAATGAGCATCAGCATAATCTGGTTTCATAAAGATAGCCTCTTCTAAGGCCTTAACAGCAGCCTTATATTCCCCTACCCCAAACAGAGCACTACCTAAAAGTTTCAAAGCTCTAAAATGGGTTGGGCAGAGAATAGCAGCTTCTCTATAATACTCACAAGCACTTAAAACCATACCTTCACCTTCCAGCGCAATCCCGAGATTCACATAAATCTGGGGAAGCAAATAACCCCACTGATTCCCACCCGCCTCTGCTGCCTCCAACGCCAACAAAAACTCCTCTTTAGCCTCTTTATACTTTCCAAGCACATATAAACAGTTCCCAGCTCTAAAATGTGGCCTAACATCCACCGGCTGCAACTCACAAGCTCTCTTAAAACTAACCAACGCCTCCTTAAACAACTGATGATCGTACAAAACCCTCCCAATTGCCATATGCCCATCAAATGCCTCTTCTCTCGATCTCGCCCCGTCAGCTCTGCTCCTCAAAGCCCCCAATTCTCTCACGAAAGCCGCGTAATCATTCCCAGACTCTTCCCAAAACACCCTCTTTTCCGAGATCTCCGAAGATGGCCCCAGTTCCCTTGACCAGCCAGCATCAGAAAACGCATCAAAATTATCAGCTTTAAATTTCCCATCTTTAGCTTGCTTCGCTTTCAATCTCTTAATCAAAATCTCAATATCATCAACAATTTTCCACGTATCATCAAAAACAATCCCGTGATTAGGCGAAACCGCCCACGCAGCAGTCCTCTGCTTCTTCTGCGACTCTATAACCCTCTCATCCACAATTGACGACGACGAAGCCTCCGCCTCGATCGTGCTCCCTTTATTATCATCATTCAATTCCAATTCAAGCGCATCAAAATCACGGTCCACGTCACCAGCTCCATCATCATAGGTACGCAATAAACCATCATAGGTTAACCCTTTCTCGCCATCAATAAACTCTCCGTAAGTGCGGAAAACTTCGTCAAGAATCGCATTGATTTGCTCGTCACTAAATTTAACTCTAGGGTTCACAGCCACCACCAAAGCTGCCATTTCATCTCTGTTGAGACCTCCATCACGGTTGGCGTCAAATTGTTGGAAAATCCTCTTCACTTTCTCTGATCTAGTCCCTCTTGTCGTCATTAGAGGGTTTCAAAGAAGAAGCAGACTAACAGACCTGTTGATAATGCTTGTATAATTGGATAAATGTTAGGGTTTAGTGTCGGAGGATAATAATTTTGCTGCTAATTTTAGGGTTAGGGTTTGATTTGTTGCCTTCTGTATGGAGGAGGAGTGGTTGTTTGTGAAGCAGCGGCGGCCGCTATATCTGAATTTTGTTTTGTGTGTTTTTTTTTTTTCCCTTCCTGGCTTTTCTTGATGACGGGTGGTGGTGGGGGCTATGATGCCCAGCTCTGAAGAAGTCCTTTCGCAGTCTCTGTTTTAATTAATTTATGAGAACTTTAGTTACCTGGGCGGCAGTTGGCTAATTGCCTGATTTTGGAAGGCTTTTTTGCCAGCTGGCATGTGTGAGCGAGCACGATTGCTGTGTTTTATTTTTATCATCTTACTTTGATAAGGTTGCTGCTTGCTATGGGACGAGTGGCAGTTATATCTGCTTGATCTACTTCAAAAAATCATGATCAAACCTGATTGGGGTTGTATGATCTGATCAGATCTTTTTGAGTGGTTTATTTGACTTGGTCAAACTTTACTGAGTAAACATTAGTTTTTTAAAATAAAATAAAATCATTTTAATAAAAAAACAATCGATCTTAATAGATTTTCTGACTCGTAAATTATTCTCGATTGCCCGGACGAGGTGCAGCCCAGCCCATGCCCAGCTGGGCTGTTGCTGTTTTGTTTTTTTCAATACTTCAACACGTGCACAATGATTTTCGTCTGGTGTCATGGCGTAGCTCCACACATTGAATCAAACCATTTTCGCCCTTCTTTAACTAAACCCGCATGGCTACAAGCAGAAATAACTGCTCTTGTTCAAGATTTCCTGATATTTTTCCAGTACTGAAAACTGGTGGTTTTTAATTTTTTATGTCTGCACCAGGAAACGTTAGAGAAAGGAAGGCCTTCGGAAATGCAGCACCAGTGGTTGGGGTGCATCTTCGCCTCCGCGTAGCTGTGCTATTATTCCATCCAGATTCATTCTTTGATTGTGTACAAGCAAGTTTCCCCGTATAATCCTCTAATATTGCAAGATACATTCAATAATCCATATACTGCGCATTGATCTCCAGCTAAAAATTCAGCAGAAGATAAGATCCATATGCTAACAGTGACTTTTATGAATTTGTTACTGCACAATTTGATGGTTCAGCTTAAAAAAAAAACATTGGGACTAGGCTTCAAGGAAATTATCAAAAACTATAAACAAAGACAAGGAAGGGATTTACAATGGGGTCATTTCATGTTTTACATCATAATTGCTCCTTCAGTTATTTTCCATCCCGAATTGGAACGTGATAGCTCATATCTTGTCGTGTAGGTTTTGACATTAGAGGCATTGTTCTCTGGATGAACCTCATCAGTTAAGCGAGTTGACTCTTTGAGTGTTGCTTCTACTACAGCACTTAGTCCATCCACAGATACAGTCACACTGTCAATAGTCAGGTCCAACAGCACATACTCGTATATCCAACCAAGATGTGCAATTTCGGCCGCACGATCTGTCCATATTTTCAACATTTGACTATCCAAAACCTGGAGAGTTCTCTCAGAGTCAGAAAAAAAGTACAAAACTAGTTTCCTCGTAATGTTGTTTAAGCAGAAGTTCAATTAAAAGCATAGAAGTGATGTTACCTCTGGCAATTTTGCCAGGCAGTGATCAGGTCCAAAAGCCTGAGATTTAATGTTTTGCCACTTGCGAACTATATCCTCTGCAAACCTTGCATCCATTCTGGGTAATTCCTCGGAAATTTGTTCATCTACTGCTGAATCTGCACAGTTGAAACTCCATTACAAGCAAAAACTTAAGTTTCTTGCTAGAAGTATACATGAGGAATGAGTCGCTTTAAGTAATGTGGACGAGTGTAACATAGACCTATAGCTACATTGATGCAGAAAAATGACCAGATTGAAATTTTAGATGGAAAATTTTTTAAGTGGTGAAGCAAAAAATGACTGGTTAAAGTGGTTAAAAAAAAATAGCTTCGCTACAGAAAATGATTAAGTTTAACTTGAGATTTTGTCTGGTTTGAGGTATATGGTAAAAGTAAAATAAAATCATACTCAAATTGATGGTGTCAGATGCCATTGCCGAACCAATTTCTTTCTGTCGAATGAAGGAGCCAGTCCTAGGAGGAAAATACTTCAGGCCACCTAAAGTCAGCAGTCCAATAGCCACACCAGCACACATGATTTTGATACTAGCATCTTTTATTTTTTCAGTAATTAATTCTTCTTCAGGAACTTCATCAGAATATATTCCTTCAGGATTCTCTAGACCAAGACTTTCAAAAGGCTTTTCCGTTTCTACAGCAGAAAGGACAGAATTGATCCCATCATTTTCATGGAATTCTGCACCCATGTCCTTGTGACCAAGAGGAAACACCTTCTGCAATGCCTGAATTGCACTAGCCTTCACATGGTCAATAACAGCAGTAGCCTCAGCCCCGATTCTCACTATGGCTGCTGCTGCAGCCAATGGTGAACGACCACCTCCTTCCTGCCTTTCTAGGTATCTCAAGACAGTGGGGTCATCATAATAATCTCCAAGCTTGAATTCTATATCTTTGGTGTCCCTAAATCTAGGAAATACCACCTCCATCAACCATGTCTCCAACAATTTACAAAGCCCAGGAAGATTGCTGTCATCATCATCCTTTGAATTTTCCATGATAAAATCAAAAATAGGTGGATTTCTGTAAGGAGAGTTATCACTGTCTAAACCCAACCATTTACAACATTCATCAAGCTCACCTACAAGCAGTGAACAAAGACCCCTCTCCAAACCAAAGTCAATATCACGGTTTTCCATGGAACCAAAGACGGGAACAAGACTCCCTTGATTTGTTAACTTAATCTGCTGAAGTTGTCCGAATAGGTTATCAGCATCTGTGATGAGATGAGGCTTTTTACCAATGAAAGCTTGGGCAACAAGGGCAAGTGCTACTCCATAAACTTCAAAATTTTGAGCCGGGATATTACTTGGTGTGGTGACGAACAGATCAACCTTTCACGTGGAGGGAATTTCAATAAGAATTGGGCAAGCATAAATAGGCAAAGGCAAATTTCATAACAATCATAATTTGTCCTACCTGCTCAGCTGCTGTCATACGTAAGAAGGCCTCATTCATGAAATCTTCCCGGGTAAATCCTCCAGCAACCGGTGCTGCTCCTCCTCCTCCAACAGCCCATAATGTGTTTCGCACTCCTTGGAGACCCTCCTCCCTTCTTGTTCGGTATTCTTCGCTTAGGGGCAATGCAAGAAGTTCGAGGACAGATCTAGGGGTAATCTCTTCCAATGTCTCATCAATCTGTGCTTGTAAATCAGGTGCAAGGCTACTGGCACCTTCCTCCTACATGCAAAGAATAAGTATTTTATCAAGAAGCCAATCAGGTGAGTGAGCGTCAACATCTGGTGATAAAATAATATAAAATTTTTTTTATTCTTGATAAATACTCACTAATGCCACCAATAAAAGAGAGAATGAGTCTTGAATCATAATTGTAACAAAACATTAAGCAAGAGCAATGTAGTACCTGCAGAAGCTTCAAAGCCCGCTCTAGCACTTCACGCCCTCTAATAAAATCTGGCGGATCCAACGCCATAGCATCCCTCGACATATCTACATAAGCAAGCACCATTGCCAACACCACATCTTGCTTCAACGATTTGGGCAATCTTTCCCTTAACAAACTCTCTCCAATTTGAAGCACCACCCCAGTCTCCCCTGCTTCTTGTAATACACACAATGCCCCCGGAACCTACAAATCAAAAAATTTCACCTTACAAACAATTCAATTACAATTTCTCGCAGTTCCCACACATTCTCTCAGTTACCTTGTCCCAGGGAACTTGAGTGATGATGGTATCAGTCTCGTCATCGATAAGGCCTTGATTGTAATCTCTTCTAGAGGCAGGGTCAGCTAGGGTTTCACAGGCAGCTTGGAGAATTTGCCTGCGGCTAACCAAAGCGTCTTGACTGAAACCGTATTGTGGTGGTTTAGAAACCCTAGCTTCATAAGCTCTCTTTATGCCATCTCCAAGGAAATGTGTTTCAGCTCCTAAAACCTAAAAAAAAACGTAGCAATTCTCTTCAGTCGAGGCCAAAATGGAGAGCATAGATAGGGAAATGAATTGAATTAAATAGTGTAATTACCTGGTAGAAGTGGAGAGGGATGGAGACATAGCGTTCGGGAGGTGAGAGGGGGGGAGGAGGAGCGAGAGTGGCGGGGGGGGGGGGGGGGTACCTGGTAGAAGTGGAGAGGGATGGAGACATAGCGTTCGGGAGGTGAGAGGGGGGGAGGAGGAGCGAGAGTGGCGGTGGAAGAGGAAAGAGGGTGGTGGAGGACGTCGGAGGAGGAAGTGTCGGTGGAGGTGAAGAATTGGAAATCGCTGAGGAGGCGATCAGCCCACTTGCTGGCGGAGCAGGTGATTTTGGTGCTTACTTTTGAGGGTTTTTTTAAAGGAGAACATAGTTTTGGAGTGCAAAGGCCAATGCCGACATGTCTCAAGGCTTCCATTGCAAGTCTTTTTGGTTTTGTGTGCTTAAAACCTCAAACCATCCTCCTCTTGCTGAGGTTTTCAGTCTCTTCCCTTTCTTCACTGGCTAGCGATAATGCCGAGGACAAAATACAATGGGCCGTATTTAAAAAGGGTGTACAAAGGAAGAACCTGTTTGAATACAAGCCCGTTGACAAAAAGACAGAGCCCAAAAAACTGTAAGGAAAACCTCAAATCTCAATTGTTGTGTCATTTACATCCATAATGTTTTCAATTTGAAATTTTCTCCTATGCTCGTTGATTTCTTTTTATAAATTTTTCTCCGAAATACGTTGTTTTATTGCATATAATATTCATATTATAATCCAATTGATAAATACATGAAAAATAACAGATATAGGTTTTCTTAAAATCCAATTAAAAAGCTAAGATATCATAATAATACAAAAAATATCATCTTCGTTTCACCAGATATTATTTTAAATATACGAGAATTCAATTAATAAATACTTTATTTTTACACATAAAAGCACCGCCAAAACTTTAGCTACATAGATAATTTTTTTTATTTGTGATATAATTTGATATCGAAAGATTTGGAAAATCCGTTGTAGTCTAGTTGGTCAGGATAAAGAATGTCATTGATCATTAATAATCTCCCTTCAATTGTTTTATTTGTGATATAATTTGATCCGACAGATTTCAAAATTCCGTTGTAGTCTAGTTGGTCAGGATATTCGGCTCTCACCCGAAAGACCCGGGTTCAAGTCCCGGCAACGGAATTTAATTTTATTCATTACCCAGTTATGGTAATGGGCTTCTGGATAATTAAGGTTCTTGCAGGTGACCGGCCCAAGCATGCCACAT